TGAAGGAGATGAAGGAGACTCTGACCTTTGGCTGCGGTCAGCATGGTGGAGGCCAGCTCGCACTGCTGGGACTCGATGTGGCTGAGGGTGAACCACCGCGGGTAACGGTTGGGGACGACTGATACTATATGGTGAGGCCGGGACATGTCACCCGAAGGAGCCGTGGATTCCAACACTGGTAACCTACCAATGAAAGAGACAGCAACATCGTCAGTTTCAGAAACAGCAGAACAGTCAGAGCAAAACACACACACACACACTCTCGCTCTCACACACACGCACGCTCACTCACACACACGCTCTCACACACACACGTTCTCACACACACGCTCTCACACACACACGCACGCTCACTCACACGCACACGCTCTCACACACACACACGTTCTCACACACACACACACACGCTCACTCACACACACACGCTCACTCACACACACACGCTCTCACACACACACACGCTCTCACACACACACGCACGCTCACTCACACGCACACGCTCTCACACACACACACGTTCTCACACACACACACACACGCTCACTCACACACACACGCTCACTCACACACACACGCTCACTCACACACGCTCTCACACACACACGCTCTCACACACACACACACACGCTCTCACACACACACACACGCTCTCACACACGCTCTCACACACACACGCTCTCACACACACACACACGCTCTCACACACACACGCTCTCACACACACACGCTCTCACACACACACGCTCTCACACACACACGCTCTCACACACACGCTCTCACACACACACACACGCTCTCACTCACACACACACGCTCTCACTCACACACACACGCTCTCACACACACACGCTCTCACACACACACACGCTCTCACACACACACACACGCTCTCACTCACACACACACGCTCTCACACACACACACGCTCTCACACACAAACACGCTCTCACACACACACACGCTCTCACACACACACACGCTCTCACACACACACACGCTCTCACACACACACACGCTCTCACTCACACACACACGCTCTCACACACACACACACACACACGCTCTCTCACACACACACGCTCTCACACACACACACGCGCTCTCACACACACACACACACGCTCTCACACACACACACACGCTCTCACTCACACACACACGCTCTCACTCACATGCTCTCACACACACACACGCTCTCACACACACACACGCTCTCACACACACACACACGCTCTCACACACACACACACGCTCTCACACACACACACACGCTCTCACTCACACACACACGCTCTCACTCACACACACACGCTCTCACACACACACACACGCTCTCACACACACACGCTCTCACACACACACACACACACACACACACACACACACACACGCTCTCACACACACACACGCTCTCACACACACACACGCTCTCACACACACACACGCTCTCACACACACACACGCTCTCACACACACACACGCTCTCACACACACACACGCTCTCACACACACGCTCTCACACACACGCTCTCACACACACGCTCTCACACACACGCTCTCACACACACGCTCTCTCACACACACGCTCTCACACACGCTCTCACACACACACGCTCTCACACACACACGCTCTCACACACACACGCTCTCACACACACACGCTCTCACACACACACGCTCTCACACACACACGCTCTCACACACACACGCTCTCACACACACACACGCTCTCACACACACGCTCTCACACACACGCTCTCACACACACGCTCTCACACACACACACACACGCTCTCACACACACACACACACACACGCTCTCACACACACACACACACACGCTCTCACACACACACGCTCTCACACACACACACACGCTCTCACACACACACACACACGCTCTCACACACACACGCTCTCACACACACACGCTCTCACACACACATGCTCTCACACACACACAGCTGTGTTTTTGTGATATATGAGGACATTCCACAGGCGTAATGACTTTTATACTGGACAAACTGTATATTCTGTCCCCCTACACTGCCCCTATCCCTAAACCTGCCCATCACAGGAGACATGCTGCATTTTTACATAAAAAAAAAAAAAAGTTTTTTAAGCTATTTGAAATATGAGGACTCATGCAATGTCCTCATATATCACGTGTAAGTTGTAATACCAGTGTAATATGCATGTCATTATACACATTTGTGTCCTCATATATCACAAAAACAAAAGCACACACACACACGCGCTCACACACACACACGCTCTCACACACACGCTCTCACACACACGCTCTCACACACGCTCTCACACACACGCTGTCAAACACACACACGCTCTCAAACACACACACGCTCTCAAACACACACACGCTCTCAAACACACACACGCTCTCAAACACACACGGTCTCACTCACACACACGATCCAAAATAAAATATTGTGTTTACATAATATATGTGTGTGTACTGTGTATAACTATTTTGTATATATATATATATATATATTGGTTGCCATTAACTGACCAGGAAGTGATTTATGGACGTAAATGATGATTTAAAAAAGGTTTCAACAGCTCTAGAACCACAGCAGAGGTTCCTCTGGGAAAGGACAGTGTGTCGGTCAAAAACAGAGGTTTTGCTGTATTGTTTAAGCCAGATAACATGAGCCTGGAGGCGGCCTTTACACACACACACACACACACACACTTAATACTACAACGAGTCCAACAGGAGCGTCCAGCTGGATTCGACCCTGTTTTAGGCATGACATGAACTTCAGAGATCTTTAATACAAGCAAATTTTAGCCTTGCACTTACAAAATAGACATCCTCATTATGACAGATGTCGAATATGACCTTGTAAATTGCCCATTAGCTGCATGTTGGGCATCTTTAAGGCTACTTTCTGTATCTAGCATGCCTTTCCAGTCATATGCAGCTTCCAATCATCTATCCGATCAAGCATCTTCATGTCAGAGCAGGATTCGTGCCGCGCAAATATGTCAAAGCATCATGTCCTGGCATGGAGATAATTACGGAGCTATCTACAAAAGGGAATTGTATGATGAGGGGATCAGGCCTCGTCTGAGCCGATGCCACGGAGAGCAGTTATTTGGAGACGTGGTCTTTTTATAGAGAAAGTCGATACTGAGCCGAAGCTCCTGCGCTGGCTAAATATAGCTGGATCTTTGTTTGATACCATTGACTTTATATGTGTATCCTGAGCTGAAAATCCCCCGCTAAACACAATCCAATCAAAATATAATACAATACCAGAGAGATTTGGTGACATGATTTGTGTGTGTGTGTGTGTGAGTGTGTGTAGGTTGGTCAAAAAAGGAAGATTAATAAAACATATGAGGAAATCTGTGACAAGATGTCGATGTAAATCTGTTGGACCAGAAGCATAAAACAGCATCCGATCAAAGCGTGATGTTCACAGTGAAATCCCATGAGTCCACTGTGCTTAACTGCATATTAAACATCAAATGTGGTTGTGTGTTTTTGCTTCCAGTGTGCACAGAAAAACGATGACATCACGCCTGGTTAGGACACAGTTTAAGACAGAGGTCTCAAACTCGCGGCCCGCGGGGTGATATTTTGTGGCCCCCTACTTGACATTAAAGTTTAATGTTAGTGCGGCCCGTCGTTGCATGTGCCGCGTTAAATATAAATAAAAATAAATGTATCCCTTATGGGCTACCATAGATAGTCTCGTGACAGCTTACGGTGGGTTTGTTGTCAATAGTTGTCATAGACAACCGCGAAGTACAAACACACTGCGCGCCTGGAAGAAATGAGCGCGTCGCTTCAATTATGAGCTCGCTTGCCGCGCGCCTACATTTGAAATAACGAACTTGAGCGCGCAAAATATGTGAGCGCGATATGTGAACGGCCCCTTGGCGAGCTAACACCAATCAGACCACGAGCTACTGGCAGCTCGCGAGCGACGTGTTGGAGAGAGACCCTGCTCTAAAACAATGTGAGAATAATCACTTTGAGCTTGTAATATGTGTCCAACAGGTTGATAAGAAGCTTTGCTTTGATTTTTGCAGTCAGTAATTTGAGACACTATACATGTGTAGAAAGAATTCAATAAGACGGGCAGACATGACTGCAAATATTTGTATTTCAAAAGCAATAATTGTTTTTCTAAGTATAATAAAAGGAAATGTGCCTTCCAAAAAAACCATTCAATATCATTAATGTGTTGTATAAAGAAAATAAAAAGGACATAAGCAAATATAAATATCACAAATATGTGTTATAGACAAAGAAAGTTTGTAAAATGAACTTCAACTGTCAGAAGACAGCTCATGAAGAACCAATCATGTACAGAAAGGAATGTTCAAATTCAGAGGAACAGTTCAGAAGAAACGTTAATAATAAATATTGAGAAGATTGGATCAGTTGTGCTCCTTTTTTGGGAATACTTGAATACTATTTTTTTGTGGAATACTTGATGCGACCCCGCCTGACCCCGACTCTACCTCCAGCGGCCCCCAGTTAAGTTGAGTTTGAGACCCCTGGGTTAAGACGTGTTGATGCACATTGGGCCTCGTTCAAGAAACACGAGCACAACAAACAAAATTGCGATGTAAATCAATCATTAAAAAACGTTATGCATAAATACCAGATATCAATCAACAAGGATTTTTTTTTTAGGTCATGTGACTAAAATTTGCCACCTTTACCTCTCATTTGCATTTGAACCAATTTGCCCAAGTGACAATTTTGTCTCAATCTCTTTCACAATTTTGCACATATATGACATTTTCAACTCCGATGGAAACAAATACTGAATTGAATGCGTCAATTAACGCAACAAGCAGAACTGATTTCTGTATTGTTAATTCATAAAACTTTGAAACACACACACACATCAATTTACGCAAGAATAGTTGTATGAACGATTTACACAGATATTAGTTTTGCTTGTTTCATGTGTTTTTCATGTTTTGTGTGTGTATCTCTCTCTCTCTCTCACACACACACACACTCACACTCTCTCTATCACACACACACACACTCTCTCACGCTCATACATCAATTTACGCAATAGATGTATGAACGATTTACACAGATATTAGTTTTGCTTGTGTTTCATGTGTTTTTTGTGTTTTGTGTGTATCTCTCTCACACACACACTCACACTCTCTCTATCACACACACACACTCTCTCACGCTCATACATCAATTTTCGCAAGAATAGATGTATGAACAATTTACACAGATATTATTTTGCTTGTGTTTCATGTGTTTTTCATGTTTTGTGTGTGTATCTCTCTCTCACACACACACTCACACTCTCTCTATCACACACACACTCTCTCTCACGCTCATACATCAATTTACGCAAGAATAGATGTATGAACGATTTACACAGATATTAGTTTTGCTTGTGTTTCATGTGTTTTTCGTGTTTTGTGTGTATCTCTCTCTCTCACACACACTCACACTCTCTCTATCACACACACACACACACACACACACACACACACTCACACACACTCTCTCTCTCTCACACACACACACACACACACACTCTCTCTTACACACACTCTCTCTCTCACGCTCACACACAGACTCTCGCTCTCTTACACTCACACACTCTCTCTCACACACACACACACACACACACACACACACACACACACACACACACACACACACACACACACACACACACACACACACACACACACACTCTCTCTCTTACACACACTCTCTCTCCCACACTCACACACAGGGTTTGCCACATACACAAACGGCCATAAACACACACGCGGGTCGAGAGTGTGTGTGTGTGTGTGTGGTGAAAGCAGCGCTCTGCATTACCTCTGCAGCCCAAATTAGACTCAACGACACATATTTATTATTCACACTTTTTCAAAAACTCATTTTCAGTGGGCATGAATTATTTAGCAGTTTTCCAAGCAAAAGGCGCTTTTTGATTAAACGGTGCCCCAGATAACCTCACGCCCTATACACACACACACACACGAGAATCAGTGGAGATGTAACTGTGCCTTCTCTGGGTGAGCGAAGGCGATTAAAACAAGAGACGGAAGGGGAAACCGAGCCAGTCGTGTGTGTGTGTGTGTGTGTGTGTGTTACTGTAGGTGGAAGTGACGGTTTTCGTGTGGCCTGTGGAAACTCACCGCATTGCTCTCAGTGCAATTTTGTACGCCAGTTCGGCATCGTGAGGTAGGAGGCATGTGAAGAGATACTTGGCAAACGTGTGCATCGGAACGCTCTCTCTATAGATGAGCTCTCCCAGACCACTGTAGGGCCCACCTGCAAGAGAAAACACACTGCGTGAGACACACTACACATCCAGGAACAGTTGCATTTATTCTCATTTAAATCAGGGATTCCTGAACTTTTGTGTCAGCCGAACCCCTTTGACCTAAATCATTTTTTTAACCCCATAAAGCCTACAGTATGATGGTTGATGCACACATCTCTAAGGCTTTTAAATGATCAACATGATCAAAACTTTGCTGATAAACCTGTCGCACACAATCTAATACAGTCCTTCTGTCGTCTGATTTTAAACAAGTAAAAAACCTTTTAGTATAATTTTAAAAACGTCCCCCTTATGCTCGGGTCTTTTAGCTGTAAAATCTTGTTTTTTATAAAGTAAATGTAAGAATAACTTTGATATTGTTAGTAATATTTCAAGATAAACACTGAAGCCACTTCGGTTTACTTGATTATCCATATCATGAGTCTCAAATATGATCATCAGGAAGGTTTATTTGTTAATTTCTCAATCATTATTGTATTGCATTGCATTATATATTACAACTACAGAGCTTTGATCATAAAACTAAGTATTTAAATATCATCTTAAGACATATTGGCAGTTATTGATATTTATATCAATTTTATGTAAGTATCTGCTATAAAGATCCCATTGATTTACATTACAAGCATCAGAATTTCATCACTTTTTGTCCATATAAATATCAGCATCTGCAGCAAATTGCATATTTTTGCTCAGTTTGAGTATCTGAATAAAATTTAGCGTTTTTCCCTCCTTATTCTCTCTATATGAGCCATAAAAGCCTGATGCATCAAATTTGTACTCAAAAAGATTGTTTAAATGTTCAATAAACTACTCCATTATAAAAATAATAATAATTCTGACCATTATTTCACATGTCGGGCTTTACAGGGTTAATGTCAATTTAACAACACTTTGTCATTTTCATGGTTCTCTGATGTTGGTAAATGGTCACATGTCATGCAAGTAAACAAATAAAATATTTCATAATTTTAAGTATTTATTTTATATTGTATATAGTATTTATTTTCATTAATATGTCCTAATCAATGTCTTTAGATGTAAAACTTTTGTGAATGTTTAAAACGACATCCAGTCATTAAGTTATTTTTTGTACATTTCTCTATCAGCAATGTTAACAACACAAGTGTGAAAGCGCGATTGGTGACTTCAATAAAGCTGTCGTACGATTTCAGAAGATATAACACATGCAGAAGCTGTGAGATGTGGTTAGAAATGCACAGATTTCTTGGTACAAACAGGGTGTAAGAGTGTGAGAAAGAAACGCCTTAGGAGGTTCCCGTTTCACCTCACACACACACCCAAGATACCCTTCTGTATGACACATCAAAATCACAAAGAGCCGTGGCGGAGCACTTCAAATAACCCCATGCATATCGCCGTCTCGAACATCATAGTTCGGTCGTAGGTCAAGAACACACACTGATATCATCCTCTCTGAAAAGCTGCACGTTATCCATTTCCAGGCGAAACGCACAAAAAGCAGGCCGAGATGGGCTTGTGCTGCATCATGGGTAATCTACTTACAGATCGTTTTACAGACCCTCCCCCTCCTCATCCTCAAACCAGATGAAAACCACACACCCACTTTCAAGAGCACAGGCCTTTTTCACACTTGCCTACAATATAAAGCCATATGTGAGAGCTTAGCTTTCCCAGTCATTAGATTATTTGTGACTGAGAGCGCAGCGACCACAAGCCTCTTCACAAATACACACGGCACTAGACACACACAGACACCGACAAAGCAACCAAACTAAACATTCATTGGTGCTGCCTACCTAGGCACTATACAAATGCCAATATGTGATGCTCTCAAATAGGCAGTGACTCACAAATAGGCTAGCGCTACCCATGTGAAGTGCATGAGAGACTTAGCATGGTGCTAAGCATAAAAACACACATTAAACACAAATATTTGGTCAAATAATATATATATATATTAGTCCAATTAAATATTTAAGTACACAATCAGCATTTATCTCAACTAATTAGCCATCAAGAATTCATTTTTATACTGAGAATCTCTGCATCCCTTATCAGATTATATAAATATATAAATTATACTGCAATTACACTGCAGAGCAAATGCAATCCCAGAATGCCGCCTTGTGACGAGCTTTGAGAAAAAAAAATACATTTAAGATGGCTATATATTTCATTACTAAGTACATATTTAAAAAAATAGGACAAACATATCAGGTAAAATTTAATTGGACTGTTTTCATGCTTATTAGAGCATCAAGTTGTTAGCTTAGCAACATTGTAATGTCTTTCAAGGGATGCAAGAGTCAGCTATCTATTCAAACCAAAATGTAGGTAAGCACCGATATGAACATTTTGGCCGATACCGATAACCGATAATTCTTCATATTTGAAAGCCGATAACCGATATATTGGCCGATAAATCTAAATCCAAATTTTTATTTAATTTTTGAGAGCCTGATTACAAAAGTCTCACCATATCCCAAGCACACAATTTTATGTAGCCGATGTGACAGACTTGTCAGCGCTGCACATGTTGAACTGAACTTTATTTTCCTGTTTTGAAGTGATTCCAATCATGTTTCAAGCAATTCAAAACCATCATGTTGAACAGTTGCACATCTGAAGGAAATAATACATTATTTATCGGCTTTAATATATCAGACACATTTTCTCATTGGCCCGATACCGATAACATTAAAAATGAACATATATCGGCCGATAAGGATATGGTGGCCGATATATTGTGCATCCCTACTGAAATGTAAAACAATAGCTCAACAAATTCACATTTAAAATATTTGATACATTCTGATGCTTAACTGCTTATTGTGTTTAAATAGCATTACAAAAAAACATTTCAGGTTGGTAAAGCCATTGAGCATGTGGAGTCGCAAGCGCATCTCAGAACATTGACTTTTTCCTATAGAAGATTCTAGAGGTAGCTGAGGTTACGCTATGAGATTACCATTGGCCGATTGGCTCTTTTATTTAAAAGGCTTAGACTTATTCCACACATTCTCCCATTCATAGTAATACGAGTGAACTGTTCAATTGAACTATCTATGTAGCCGATAGACAGCAAGGCAGCTCACTAGGCTTGGAACAGAGCTGCAGTCACGTCTTGCTAAAGTTACTAACTAAACACACACACACAGAACAGCTGAGCATGCTAACTCTATTACGGCGTGTGCTGGAAGGGGACATCCAGCATGCTCTGGATGTCTCTCAGTGTGAGAACGCTCTTGTTGTTTTGTTGGATTTTCATATTTGGCCAGAACTCCCCCAAACCCTGTAGCCAATCGAATGCATGCCTTCCTGTTTATTGTTCCCCCGTCACGCTCTTGGCATTTGCTGGGTGGAGGAATCCACACTGCGGGGCCAGTTTATCAGTTCTCTTCATTCTTTCAAAACAACCCAGTGGCGTTTAGAGGCAGAAGACCGTTTCGTTTTACTCCCAACACCAGCCGCGAGTGAAACAAACAGCCTCGTCCACCACTGAGCACTTTTACACATACTGAACACCGCTCTGAGGGAAATGTAACCTAATGCAGTCTGTAACTTTGTTAAACTGGGAAAACAAGAAGTAAACAAGAATGGTCCTTAACCCTGCAAAAGTTAGCAACTTTCCAAATTTCTGAATGGTTTCTAGGGCATTGCTAAGCTGTTGTAGGTGATAAAGAGTCCGTTTCTAAGGTATTCTTAGTGGTTACAAGGGCCTTGAAAAGTACGCGACCACCTAGCAAGGCCCAAGCAACCACCCAGAACACCCTAGCACTGCCCTAGAAACAACTGGTGAGTTTCGCAGAGGAAATGTCTATGATGTTGTGATCCCTAGATCTGTTCACTTCACATCATGCTGATTTCTGTATGTTTATTTTTACGCTTATTGGACTATAAACTTTTGGAGGGTCCCGTTCGTGGGTTTAGCTCCCATACTAGTTAAACAACTAAACCAGCAAATGAAGGTCTTTAGGATATAGGAACTTCTAATCAGGTGTATTGGAGAAGGTTGGAGCTAAACTCTGCAGGAATGCAGTCCTCAAGGAGCAGGATTTTGACAACTCTTGTCTAAACCATGTGCAATACTTGAGCAAATTGTTAAAGGCATGCTTCATAAACAAAGTATTTGGCTAGATATTTAGCTGACGCATGAGGAAATCAAATGCATCCATTCCACAATTGTTAACTACATCCAAATTGCTTCCTCAGGCTTTTGATATCTTTTAGCTTTAGTTAATGAAAAACCAAATAGTAATCGCCATCGTTCCCTCCGGTTGCACCGTAAATCTACGAAAGCACCAATACTTACCCTCTAATAGGAAGACAGCTTGCTTGCGGAAGATCTTGACCAGGGTATCGTCCAGGTCCACTTCCTGCAGTTTGGCGATCAGGTGCTCCTCGTTGCGGCACACCTTCTCTTGGGCGTAGAGTCCATCGGGCATGATTCTTTGCTGACCCAGTCCCATCAGGGCCGTTTCCACCGCCAGGGACAGGTATGATTCACCCTCCTCCAGGAATCGGCGCGTGGACGGAAACAAGAGCAGCTCGCTGTGCTTGCTCGAGCTCATTGTGCTGGCTGCAGAGGGCAAGAAACAGAAAGCACGTAAGAAACTGGGAGGTGGTGACACCTCAAGAGTTAACCACTGTAGTGAGACCTTCCTCCCAGGCACCGGTTCTTAGACAGGTCTTGTCGTATAATGAGGCACCAGAGAGGAACTCTGCCTGGTCTAATGAAGCAGCTCAGCCGGATAGGGCATAAGGCAAGGCATGCTCAATTAGGCTCCTGAGTGACTGAGGTAATGCACTGTACCCTGGACTCGCAAATGCATTGGATAGTTCATGCATCGCATTCATACCTGTGAGATGGTGCGAAATGCTGTTGGATATGACGAGGCTCAGGCTGTATTTAGAAACTAGGAGAGAAAGAGAGACAGACAGACAGACAGGCTGAGGCCTTGCTCTTCACTCTTCACTGATCTCAAGCTATGTGGTCGCCAACTCGGACGTGCAGCTCTGAGCCTCGCAATCCTTCCAACCAATTCCGCACCAAATCCAGCTTTTTAATTGGCTGCAATGGAGTCGATTGGAAAGGCTGTTTTTTGTGCTGAGGATTGGCCCCTTAACCAATCAAAAGTCTGTATTTAGTGCGGAGGGATCAACATCTCAGCCAATTAAAAGGCTGAATATGATGTCAAGGGTTGATGCCTCAACCAGTCTCTCAACTGGCTTTGAGAAACTAATCCTTAGCACCAAATCCAGCCTTATAATTTGCTGAGAAGTCAATCTTTCTGCACCAAATCCAGTCTTAATGGGTGTGAGGAACTGATCCACACCAAATTCAGGCTTCTAATTTATTAAGAGGTCAGCCCATAAGGACCAAATCCACTTTGCTGCTTGATTAAAAAGGCTGGATTTTGTGCTGAGGATTTGCCCTAATCAAAAGGTTGGTTTTAGTGCCAAGGGTTTGACCACAGCCAATTAAAAGGCTGGATTGACTCCTCAACCAGTGTTGATTGGCTATGAGTTCCTTTCATCAGTTCCTTTAACTGGCTGAGAGGTTAATCCCTCAGCACCAAATCCAGTCTTTTCATTGGCTGTGAGGAACCGATTTGGCGCTAAGGAGTCGGTCCCATAGAACCAAATCTATCCTTTTGATTGGCTGCAATGGATTTGATGCCTCATCTTTTGATTGGCAGTGAGGAATTAAACCTAAAGACCAAATCTATCTGATTGGCTGGGCGTCATCGATCCCTCAGCACCAATTCCAAGCTTTTAATTGGACGTAACGAGTCATTCCCTCAGGTTTCTATAATTGAAATTCCACTATGCAAAGACAGGGCTAAAATAAGATGCAATTTGCATTAAGGCCTAAAGATATGCTAAGATTAAAACAAGTTTCATAAAAGGAATTTTGAGCAAACCCCTCCTTTAAAACCTTGAAAGACACAGCAAAATGGTCATGTGCTAAAAAACACATAAAAAAACCCTGGATTTCTGATCGTTCATGCCGTTATTATTTTTAACAGCAAAGTGAATCCAGGGCTCCGTGATCTTGGTTACACATTAATACCAATGGTGACTCATTTGGGGCTAATAATGAGAAGCATCATAATGTTTTAATGATGCCTCTTTGGACCCGTGCAGATGGCTCCGGGAGGATTTAATGTCCTAATCAAAAATGAGCGCAAAGAGGGAAGCTCGAGGCTTCACACCTTCTTTTATTCTGCAATCCCACCACCAAATCTCTTTCTTTCTCCTTCACTAATAAACTCAAAGTTCAAAGAAAACCACAGAGATAGAGAAATAAAAGCCAGTGCTTTGGCTTAAGGGGAGCCTTGTCTACTCGTGGACTAACTGAACAGCCTCTTCAGCTGGGGAATTAGGAGAGATACGTCTGGAAAGTTACGGCTCCTACATAGTCTACAGATCCACATATCCGGTGTCATGCAAAATCCTATCCCATTCAAAATCTCTTTTGGACCATAGGACTCCTAATTAGGTATAAGTTTGTTTGCATGCACACTAGGCTAATGGCTCATCGGTGCCTATCTTGAGTTGGAGACGGGCGATCGCACCTACGCTTTCTGATGCCAATCAGAACAGGCATAAGCCCAAAGGCAACAATAACGTATAATTGCAGCACCATGTTCTCTGATTGTGAGACAGTCATCTCTCCAATCAAAGCTCATGAATAAGAGATGGGAACAGAAAACATTAAAATTAAAAGTGCATTAAAAATGCAGCAGGGAAGAATAAAGTTACTACTTTTAGGCTCAGATAAAAGAGACTCACTCTTTACTCTTAATATATACCATATCTTTTTAATCAGAGTCTAAAGTAGAAGCATAAGTGAGGTTAGTTAGAGAGACAGTTGATCGGTCCTACTACGGTGGCCTAAAAATGTGCGGAAAACTCACATTGTGTCAATAACAAAGCAAAAACTATGTTCCTTAATTTTACAGCCATGAAGCACATGCTGTATAAATGTTTACATTAACAGTTTTAACTATAAATATTACAGAGGATGCTTAAGACGCCTGACGCTTTAACAGGGTGTTAATAGGACTTGACAGTTTCAGCTAGTTCATAAAAACACTCTGTAAATAACATGAATCATAAAGATTGTGATGTGCTACAGCATCTCGCGTCACAGTACCTGAGAAATCTAGAAACCCTCCTTGCGAACCGTCTTCATCCCCGCGGCCGGTTTCCATCAGCGTGCTGAAGAGCGTCCCGATGGGGTCCAGAGGGTGTCCCACCCATCCTTCTAGATTAGTGATGGACGTCACCCCTTTATGAAGCAAATCTAGAGGCAGAAAAAAATAAAAGGGTTTGTTTACCTTATATCTTGACCTTAGGGATGCACGATATAGGATTTTGGCCGATATTCGATATGCCGATATTTTCAGACTAATTTTGCCCGATACTGATACCGATATATTTGTGTGTTTTTTTTAAGTGCAAAAAAAGCTTATTAAAGCTTCTATTAAAGTTCTCAGTCAAGAGCAGTAAGTGATTTCCTCTTTGAGTTTTGTTGTTTTATTAACATTAACGAGATAGTTCTCCCCAAAATTTAAATTGTCATCATTTACTCTCTCAAGTTTCTTTCTTCTGTTGAAAATAAAAGTTATTTGGAAGAATGTGGCTAACCAAACAGTTGCTGTACTTCAGTGACTTCCATAGTATATTTAAGCACAAGAAAGAAATGAATACAGGTTTGGAACAACATTAGAGTAAATAATGACAGAATTTTTATTTCTGGGTGCAGTATCTCTTTAAGGACAAGCAGCAGCATTGTCTCTTTAAGAACTGCACGCGACGCGTCTAATATACACGCATTTGACAAGCAGATTTTCTCTGTTTGCTTTCACTTTAGACATAACCAACTTTGTTTATGTAAACCTTGTGTGTATTTGACAGTATCAGCGCAATAAGACTCGAAAGATTAGTCCAGTATGCAGGCGCTGTGACAGGCTTTTAGTTCCTGTGAGCGTCGGGTGTAACGCGCTCAGAAAAGCGGATGTTAGAACAGCGCATCAGCACGTGAATGACATGTTTAACTAGCAAGACTTTGACGCACATGCAAATAATGAACTTTTGTGAATTGCAGTGTCCCGTGAGTGTAACTCTACCTCTGCGTTTACATGTGATGTGATGTGAATGTACGTCGCGTTGTACAGTATGTTGAGATGAAGGCGCCAGAATTGAACTGATAGAATGCACGATACTATGATTTTTCTTCAAAAGCAGATCGCGGAGACATTTTAATCGTCCACGATCAAAAACCGTGAGACGCACACCCCTAGTTGGAAGTTTAAGTTGCTGGCGCTCATGCTTCGTTCGCGTCACGTGCGCATAGGAAACACGCCACCCTATCGGCAAGGCTCATCGGCAGAAATATTCATATCGGCCGATGCCGATGATGGTCATTTTAAGCTTTTATCGGCCGATACCGATGTTGTCCCGATATCATCGTGCATCCATACTTGACCTTATATCGTACCTTGTTATTGCAAAATAACCAAGATGGCGGACAATTTTTCTCAGTACTGTCATGCATTGATAGAAAACAGTGTAAAAATGCACAATTGCACTATTTTATGTGCTTATTAGGGTATCGAGTGGTTATTAAAATGACTAACATTTCTTCTAACAGTTGATTCTAGAATCACGTGAACTCCCAGAATGCATTGCAAAGAACTTTCATCCAAAAATGGAAGATGAATGGAGAGAAATTATATTTAATTTAAAACAAAAACAAATACGTAATATATTGATAAAAACAGCACACCTGCCAAGAGACAAACCCGCACATGCAGTCTGACTTTGTGAGGCGATTTCCTTAAACATGCGTCTCTTGTGGAAATCACTGCACTAGTGTTTTACATAAAGCCCAGGACCGGGCCATAGAGCCGCCTCATTTGAATAATATGAATTATGCGTGGGCACTTTCACCACAACAAGTAGTCATTTGCATTTAAATGCAATTGACCTGAGCCCTGCTGGGCACAAGTGGACATTCAGCTCTAGTGAAGAGCAGTGCTGCATGAAACCGTTACCTGGCCATTAGATACCGAGACACAGAGCACAGGCACACGCTGCTGAAAAGATAATTGGGTAACAATGCTACCATTTTTGGCCTTTTTGGCACTGTTAGTGATACAGATAACAGAAAAAGGACAGGAAATGATGGAGAGAAAATGCCAGATTCAAACTCCACGGGATTTGCATCAAAGTGCCTGCAAGATCAAAAAAAAAAAAAGATTCCAGTGACAAGCAATTTGTTAGTCCACACCAGACGCCACTACGAGATGCGACAAAGTCAATCCCAAATCACAGCCGTGTGGGCGGAGTCTCTCTGCAAGCGCACTGCACTCGCAACCAAATCAATCAAAAAAATCACAGCCAATCAGAAGAGAGCATGGGCGGAGTCTCTCTGCAAGCACACTGCACTCGCAACCAAATCAATAAAAAAAATCACAGCCAATCAGAAGAGAGTATGGGCGGAGTCTCTCTGCAAGTGGACTGCATTTGCAACCAAATCAATCAAAAAAATCACAGCCAATCAGAAGAGTGTGTGGGCGGAGTCTCTCTGCAAGCACACTGCACTCGCAACCAAATCAATAAAAAAAAATCACAGCCAATCAGAAGAGAGTATGGGCGGAGTCTCTCTGCAAGTGCACTGCACTCGCAACCAAATCAATAAAAAAATCACAGCCAATCAGAAGAGAGTGTGGGCGGAGTCTCTGCAAGCGCACTGCACTCGCATCCAAATCAATCAAAAAAAATCACAGCCAATCAGAAGAGATTGTGGGCGGAGCCTCTCTGCAAGCGCACTGCACTCACAACCAAAATCAATCAAAAATATCACAGCCAATCAGAAGAGAGTGTGGGCGGAGTCTCTCTGAAAGCGCACTGCACTCAACCAAAATCAATCAAAAAATCACAGCCAATCAGAAGAGAGTGTGGGCGGAGTCTCTCTGCAAGCACACTGCACTCGCAAACAAATGGATATATAATCAAATTCACACATATGACACCATTTTAAAACCGTTAAAAATAAATACTGAGTGACTGAAACAATCTTTGCCATAGAACGTGTTCATTCACAGTTTGAACGGTCTCCTTTGATTTTCAAAATCTGAGGTGAATTATCCATTATCGATAAAGGTGACGCGAAATGATATTCAAACTCACATTAAATAAACTAAAAGCATATAATTAGTACCTGAGATTGATTGCATATTGATGTTCCAGCCACAACGTCGCAGAAATAGAAACATTTTGCGGCGTTGTCACATCTGGTTACGGTGTAATATATCATGCAATATAACATGGAGTGAATATTATGCAAATAAGCAGTGATGCGACACAGGAGCTACCAATAGGAACTCAGACATGGTCTCTCTCCTGTAGTCGAATGTTGCTCCTGTAGTCGAAAGTTCATTTTAGCTCATGTTTCATTCTATAAGATTTGCCTCTTCCCACATACAGCAGTAATATTAAACGATGCATGGAAAACCGTGCCGCCTAAGGAAGTTCATGATAGGACGCATCATGCACTGCTGCAACTTATAATCAGACGCTTTCCCCAACCGAATGTTCATTTTTAGCAAACATCCCAGTTTTGAACTCACCTTTCTTGTGGTTTCGGAAGAGCTCCAGCTGTTTCTGCTGCTGCCGGCGCAGGGTGTTGACGATGGCGATGGCCAATCGCAGTGCTTCCCGTGGGTAACCGTGAGATCTCAGTGCATCTACTCTGGCGCAGGCCGTAGGGACGTGTTCTGCGATAAACACACAACAAAAAAATGCTTTAAAAACCTCAGACGAGGACAATAGAGAAACATTCACCCGCACAGAAACTAAAAATTCCTTTCAGTCAAACCAAAATGTATTCAGACACCTTCAACATTTCTCGGTTTATTCGCTATAGTTTAGAAAATGGTAATAAAATATGACAAGCTGATATTTGACTGGTTTTGTCCGTCCTTCTGTTAGACTCTCACACATGAATTATGTTGAATATCTGTCAGCTGTTAAACTTAACTACACAATTAGATAAATTGGTCCCAAATTTTACTGATAGTCCAATATTTGGGTATAATATGTCAGTTTACTTTATTTCGCTCTCCTCACTTACATAAATGAACTATAGTGTCCTGCACACACTAGTGAAAAAATCTCAAAAATCTCTGGTGTCTGAATAATGTTTGGTTCTCGCTCCATATAAAGCCTCCATTCATTGCTTTTTTCCTTAAACTCGCTCTCCTTTTTTTTTCTTAATCCTATAGAACTGCACAACACAAAGAGGCGAGTCAAGCAAACGTGTTTCCCGCTCACCGTGCCACAAGGGCCAGCCGCGAGAGTCAAAGAGCGAATTTTCAGTGTTGTCATGGTAGCAGTAGTTGGTGTAGAGGTCGTCGTTGATAATGTGCTGTAAGTGGCTGTCTTGCCAGTGGAGATCGCATGCCTCGATGGCTCGCGTGAAAACCGTCCGGTGGGGCCGGGTGCCCAAATCTGAGGAAGAGGAGGAGGAGGAGAGACAGGGAAGAGAGAAAGGAAATTGCTCTGTCATTCTCAATGCTAGCTCTGAGAGCGAGGCCCGCGGGGGCCTGTCAGTCAGGGCCAAACAGTAAAACCTTCGGAAATAAGTCCGTAGATTAGTGCAGCGGGCTGAAATGTCATTCACGGGGGGTGCGGATACTGGCATGACTGCTGCAAGGTGGCTTTACACACTCCAGCCGGCTGATATAGCTATAATAAATCATTATATCAAGCCTTTTGGCAGTATTCCATATATACACTAGGGGTTTCACAATATATCGCAATACAAAAATGCATCGTTGATAGTGACAATACGTTTTGTATATAGTTCACCCAAAATAAAATTTCTGTGTGAGGGGAAAAAAAAATCAAGTTTTCAGAGTTTTAGTGTCAGTACTGCATTAAACTGCTATGTTGAATATAATGTATAATAATGCAACGGGGGAATATTTGTGAGTCCTGATAATGCAAAATGTCGGATGTTACCAGTAAAAAGTGGCTGACATCATTTTAAATATATCTATTTAAAGTGTATTCATTTACACCCACAATGCAATACCAAATTTATCATTTTAAATCAACAGTTCATTTTTTGTTAACCTTTTATCATTGGAGTATCGCAATAATATCGTATCGTGAGTTCAGTATCGTGACATCATCGTTACACCCCTAATATATACAGAAACTAAACAATCTTCATATTTTTGAGTGATAACACCAATGAATCAGTGAATTCGATTTTTAAATGTTTTTAAAAGAAGTCTCGTCTGCTGACCAAGGCTGCATTTATTTGATCAAAAATACAGTAATATTGTGATATTATTATTAATGATAATTAGCTTCTCAATAAACATTTCTTATTATCAATTAGAGCTGCACGATTCTGGATGAATTGAGATTTTAGGGAGATTCTCCCACAATTCTGAACAGACAACTAAACAAAACATGTAGTTTACTAGAGATTATGAGAAAATGTTAAGTGCTGCAGTCTATTTTTAATGTAAATTATTTTTTTTAATTTTTTTTTAAAAATGGGTTGAGTGAATGATTCAATGGATGAATCAGCATTTTTGAACGAATCTCTTGAATGATTCAATGACGATTTTTTTTAACAGTCGCTTGCCGCCACCTACTGGTGTAACGATGTAATTTATACAATCATTATTTGAAGCGGCAAGTTACTTTCAAAAGGTGATTTACTTTATTTTGACGCTTCCGTAGACATCAGTGTTTCTATTTGAACTATAAACTTTAATCCCAGTTCTTCTGTGATAATGATAATAATTTAAATAAAAAAAAAAGAATAAATTGAATATTTGTAACACAGAAATGAAACTATTTTTTCCAGGACTCTCTGATGAATAGAAAGTTCAATTAAGAGCATTAATTTGAAATAGAACCTTTTGTAACATTATAAATGTCACATTTAATCTAATTAATGTGTCTTTGCTGAATATTTAAATTTCTTCAAAAAAAAAAAAAAACGTAAACACTTAAGCAGCAAATAAAGCATTAATTTTTAGACCGTCAACAAAACATATAAACCATATCATAAATATTTAATCTAATCGCCGCACCTTAGTGCAAAATCTCTAATTAAATCTAGACATTTATCCGACTAGCCCATTCATACCCAAAGTACCCTCGGAAAGGGGAAGTCATTTCTCAGCAATTACCTGTCTGGAGCATGAATATTTATAACAAAACACATCATAAAGTCTCCGCAGACGTTGTCGCCTCGGTATAAAAGACCTGAGTAATCGAAAAGTTTCAATGGAGCTATTTCCCCCCACGGCCCCACCCCTCGCCTTGCCCAGAGTTATGATTAGCACAGCAAGGACAAAAGCCAGAGAGGAAGTAGTGAACCGCTGTTATTAGGGGCATTCCATTAGTCACACAAAGCCTAATAAAAGGGGCGCACGGTTGATTAAAACACACACCATCATCACCACACACACACACGCTTACCTTGGTTGCCGTGAGCACCCTGAGGCAAGGCATTGGTTAAATTGGGCAGCTCGTTGCCATGGTTACCGTCCTCCAAGGGACACACGTCCACACTGTTCCACTTCTTGAGCTGCCGAAGCCAAGCGGCCTTTTGCTCCGGCTTACAGTGGGGGTTCAGCACGATACACATCCACAAGGCAC